ACATTTCCTTCCTGTACTTTTTTTTCTCCTTTAACTTTATGACAGAAGACATTTTTCATGTTGCAAACTCTTTGTAAACAACATTGTTTTTAGTAATTTTCTTTTAAATCCTCGCCTGAGTGTACGTTTTTATTGATTTTTAGAGAGAGAGGAAGGGAGAGAGAAACATTGATGTGAGAGAGAACCATTGATTAGTTGCCTTCCATACGTGCCCAGTCGAGAATCAAACCCAAAACCTTTTGTGTATGGGATGACAGTCCAACCAGTTGAACCACTTGGCTAGGGCTGTGAACAATTTACATACATTTGTAGCCCTAGCCAGCTTGGCTCAGTGGATAGAGCATTGGCCTGTGGACGAAAGGTCCCAGGTTCGATTCTGGTGAGGGGCACATGCCTCGGTTGTGGGCTCGATCCCCAGTGGGGGGCATGCAGGAGGCAGCCGATCGATGATTCTCTCTCATCATTGATGTTTCTCTCTCTCTTTCGAGCGTCCCAAAGGGACACGTATTCCGAGCTTCCCACCCTCCTGAGCTCCAGACCCCACCTGCAGCTGCCCTGGGACACCCCCCTGGCAGTTCTGCTGGCCTCTCAGGCAGCATGTGTGTGGCAGGCGCTCTCCAGGGCTCACCCGCTTCCAGGCTCGCAGGCACCCGTTCTCTGGGGAGCAGAACAGGTTCTGTTTGGGGGATGGTGGACCTCAGCCCCAGTCAGAACCAGTCCCCTCTCCTACTTCCTTCACAGATGTGGGGATAGCAATGGACACCGAGCCGGTTCGGTCCCCTGAGGATAAGTTGGCTGGGAGGCTGCTAAAAGCCAGTAACCTGGGCATGTGCCCTGACCAGGAATTGAACCAATGACCTCCTGGTTCATAGGTCGGTGCTCAACCATTGAGCCACGCAGGCCGGGCTAAACAATATTTTTAATGGCAGCATAACGTTCCATTGCCTGTTTCAGAGTTTGCCATTGGAATGAGGCGGGGTAGATATAAATACACGCATCCGCACGCACACTCAGCTATCTTCAGTTGCTGAACACTTGAGTGACTGGTTCTTAGAACCTAGAAACAAACCTGAGGGTGACTTTCATTCAACAAGTGTTTATGGAGCACGCAATCTGGATTGGGGCGGGGGGCTTAGTGGAGAACAAGAGGGGAGATCCCAGCTGTCCTGGAGCTTATGTTTTAGATGAAATCTGGGCATCGCTTTTCTAGATTTTGGAGAATTTCACAATGTGGGAAAGTGCTTTGGATGTTGCCAAGCTAAAGCCAGATTCTTTTGGCTACTAACTCGTCCAGCTCTTTTACTGAGGGCCAAAGTGAGCAGAACCTAGTGGATCTGTTCCCGAGCACACACATGCAACTCATGATTCCATGAAAGAGGGTGGGATTCTTCCCCTGGGAGTCCATGGCCGGGAAGAGGAGTTTGGACAGGATGGGAAGTGGGAGGGAGAAGGGAGGGGCCGTGGTAAGGAGGATGGGACTGTGTTCCAGGAGGTGTTGTGTGTTGCTGCCTCTTCCACCAAAAAAATGGACTGATTGCCCGGTTGGTGTGGCCCAGTGGTGGAGCATCAACCCAGGAACCTAGAGATCGAAGTTCAACTCCTGGTCAGGGCACATGCCTGGGTTTTGGGCTCAATCCCCAGAAGGAGGCTTGCAGGAGGCAGCCGATCGATGATGTTTCTCTCTCATCAGTGTTTCTATCTCTCTATCCCCCTCCCTTCCTCTCTAAATAAATAAATAAATAAATAAATAAATAAATAAAATTAATTGCTCATGTTAAACACTGTACTGGGAGGCACTGTGGACTCTGAAATATATCCTTGCCCTAAAGGAATCTAGTTTACTGGCAAATATATAATTAGAATATAAGATAAGAATTGTAATAGTGGTGTAAGTGGAACAACAGGCTGTGGGCTCGCGGAGGAAGGGGTGTTTATTGGTGGTGAGGAGAGCTTCACAGAAGAGGAAACATTCGGCATGAGTGTCGAGGGTAAGGAGGCCTTCACATTCCAGGATGAGGGAACAGAGAACAAAGGTGGAGGGTGAGAGTCTGTGCAGTGATTACGCTGAAGGAGCTGAATGGGCCGGGGGAGGCGTGGCAGCAGATGAGAGCAGAAGGCGGTTTGGGGCCATGTTGCAAAGGGCCTTGAATGCCACGCACAGGATTTGAATATCAGTCTGTAGCCCATAGATGCTTAAATAAGAAGCATAATCAGGTTTGTATTTTAGAAAAAGCACTGTGGGTAACAGCATGTGGGTAGAGGAGGGAGCTCAGAGGTGGAGGGACTTGGGGCCTGAGCTGCAGGAGCTCTGGTGGGAGGCGGGAGGGCCTGAAGCTGAGGAGTGGCGGAGGCGGGGAGAGCACAGGAGGCATGGAACAGGGTTGGGTGGGACCTGAGCCGGGCCGGAGGAGGGAAGGGTGTGGAAGGCTTGGTGGGCAGAAGTGGCCCTTACAGACAGGAAATGGAGGAACAGACCTGGGAAGGAGAAATGCAGAGTGTCACTTTGGTCATTGTATCAAATTGTGATGATTTTGGCTGCAAGTAGCAGAATACCCAACGCCAGCAGTTGAAACAAGGCTTTATTACCTCCCCCAGCCCCTCCGCCCCCAGCAAAGCATTCTGGAAGTGAGACAGCGGCTCAACATGTTTTCAGAGCCCCAGCGCTGTCTGTCAGCCTCTCTGGCGAATGGAGTGCAGAAAGGAGGGGTGGGAGCACAAGGTCTCCTCATAAGGCTCTTTTAAGTATGTTTTTTAAAAAGTTGATTTCAGCCGAAACCGGTTTAGCTCAGTGGATAGAGCGTCGGCCTGCGGACTGAAAGGTCCCGGGTTCGATTCTGGTCAAGGGCATGTACCTTGGTTGCGGACACATCCACAGTAGGAGATGTGCAGGAGGCAGCTGATCGATGTTTCTCTCTCATCAATGTTTCTAACTCTCTATCTCTCTCCCTTCCTCTCTGTAAAAAGTCAATAAAATATATTTTTAAAAAAAGTTGATTTCAGAGAGAGGAAGGGAGAGGGAGAGAGAGAGAGAAACATCAATGATGAGAGAGAATCGCGGATCGGTTGCCTCCTGCACGCCCCCCACGGGGAATGGAGCCCGTAACCCGGGCATTTGCCCTGACTGGGAATGGAACAGGGACCTCCTGGGTCCATAGGTCAACACTCAACCACCGAGCCACACCCGCCAGGCAAGGCTTTTTTTTTTTTAAACCTGGTAAGGAAGATCTTTTCTAGCAGCTCCCCAGCCAACTTATCCTCAGGGGACCGAACCGGCTCGGTGTCCATTGCTATCCCCACATCTGTGAAGGAAGTAGGAGAGGGGACTGGTTCTGACTGGGGCTGAGGTCCACCATCCCCCAAACAGAACCTGTTCTGCTCCCCAGAGAACTGGTGCCTGCGAGCCTGGAAGCGGGTGAGCCCTGGATGGTGCCTGCCACACACATGCTGCCTGAGGGGCCAGCAGAACTGCCAAGGAGGGGTGTCCCAGGGCAGCTGCAGGTGGGGTCTGGAGCTCAGGAGGGTGGGAAGCTCGGAATACGTGTCCCTTTGGGACGCTCTAGGCTGCGTGCCCCAGGCAGGGAAGAAGCGTGTGGGGGGCACAGGACCAGGAACCCCTTTCCTGTGGTTTTTACTGGGGAGAAAGCCCTCCTTCCAGCTCCCCAGCTGCCCTGGGGGAAAAGCCGGGCCGGGGTGAGTGAGGGTGGGCCGGCACCTTCACCTCCAGGGCAGCCGATAAGCCTCTTTTCCGTCACTGGCTAGACTTTCCCTATAACAGTATCAGAGCAGGAGTGTAGATGCTTCTGATGCAGAAGCATTCCTTTTATATAACTTCTTCCCTGATTACAGAAGAAATAAATGATCAGAAAACTAGAAGAAGCACAAATGAAGAGAAAAAAAAAAAGTCACCCCCAGGAGCAAGCACACTTCTTGAATCCCTCCCCGGGGCTCGGTAACTTTTTACGGTAAATATCTCTGAGAGGTTACAGTTTAATGCCTGTGTTACAGCCAGCCCGGAATCCCTTACAGTTGTGT